CCAGGTGTTTTAATAGTTGATCATTCGTCTTTTAACGTTAACCTTTTTGAGTTTGTGTCTCTCGTCTCGTCTCGTCTTCCTCCGCTTATCCGGGTCCGGGTCGCGGGGGCAGCATCCCAACTAGGGAGCTCCAGGCCGTCCTCTCCCCGGCCTTGTCCACCAGCTCCTCCGGCAGGACCCCAAGGCGTTCCCGGACCAGATTGGAGATGTAACCTCTCCAACGTGTCCTGGGTCGACCCGGGGGCCTTCTGCCGGCAGGACATGCCCGAAACACCTCCCCGGGGAGGCGTCCAGGAGGCATCCTGACCAGATGCCCAAACCACCTCAACTGGCTCCTTTCGATCCGGAGGAGCAGCGGTTCTACTCCGAGTCCCTCCCGAATGTCCGAGCTCCTCACCCTATCTCTAAGGCTGAGCCCGGCCACCCTACGGAGGAAACTCATTTCAGCCGCTTGTATCCGCGATCTCGTTCTTTCGGTCATTACCCAAAGCTCATGACCATAGGTGAGGATTGGGACGTAGATCGACCGGTAAATCGAGAGCCTGGCTTTCTGGCTCAGCTCCCTCTTCCCCACGACAGATCGGCTCAGCGTCCGCATCACTGCAGACGCCGAACCAATCCGCCTGTCGATCTCCCGATCCCTCCTACCCTCACTCGTGAACAAGACCCCGAGATACTTAAACTCCTCCACTTGAGGTAGGACCTCTCCCCCGACCCGGAGGTGGCAAGCCACCCTTTTCCGGTCGAGAACCATGGTCTCAGATTTGGAGGTGCTGATCCTCATCCCAGCCACTTCACATTCGGCCGCGAACCTACCCAGCAAGAGCTGAAGGTCAGAGCTGGATGAAGCTAGGAGGACCACATCATCCGCAAAAAGCAGAGACGAGATTCTCTTGCCACCAAACTCGACACACTCCACACCACGGCTGCGTCTAGAAATTCTGTCCATAAAAGTGATGAACAGAACCGGTGACAAAGGGCAGCCCTGGCGGAGTCCAACCCTCACTGGGAACAGGTCCGACTTACTACCGGCTATGCGGACCAAACTCACGCTCCTCTGGTAAAGGGACTGAATGGCCCTTAACAGAAAGCCACCCACCCCATACTCCTGGAGCGTCCCCCACAGGGTGCCCCTGGGGACACGGTCATAAGCCTTCTCCAAATCCACAAAGCACATGTGGATTGGTTGGGCAAACTCCCATGCCCCCTCCATCACCCTTGCAAGGGTATAGAGCTGGTCCACAGTTCCACGGCCAGGACGAAAACCACATTGCTCCTCCTCTATCTGAGATTCAACTATCGATCGGACCCTCCTCTCCAGTACCTTGGAGTAGACCTTTCCAGGGAGGCTGAGGAGTGTGATCCCCCTATAGTTGGAACACACCCTCAGGTCACCCTTCTTAAAGATGGGGACCACCACCCCGGTCTGCCACTCCCTAGGAACTGCCCCCGATGACCACGCAATGTTGTAGAGACGTGTCAACCATGACAGCCCTACAACATCCATTGCCTTGAGATACCCAGGACGAACCTCATCCGCCCCTGGGGCTCCGCCGCTGTGTAGTTGTTTGACTACCTCAGCAACTTCTGCCCCCGAGATCGGACAGTCCATCCCCAGGCCTCCCAGCTCTGGTTCCTCCTCGGAATGCGCATTGGTGGGATTGAGGAGCTCCTCAAAGTATTCCTTCCACCGTCCGACTATAGCCTCAGTTGACGTCAGCAGCTCCCCATCCCCACTGTAAACAGTGTGAGCGAGTTGCTGCCTTCCTCGCCTGAGGCGCCGGACAGTTTGCCAGAACCTCTTTGGAGCCGATCGATAGTCTTTCTCCATGGCCTCACCAAACTCCTCCCACGCCCGAGATTTTGCCTCGGCAACTGCCACTGCTGCACCCCGCTTGGCTATCCGGTACCTGTCTGCTGCCTCCGGAGACCCACAGACCAGCCACGCCCTGTAGGCCTCCTTCTTCAGCCTGACGGCTCCCCGAACCTCTGGTGTCCACCAGCGGGTACGGGGGTTGCCACCACGACTGGCACCGGCCACCTTACGACCACAGCTAGCAACAGCCGCCTCGACAATCGCAGAGTGGAACAAGGCCCACTCGGACTCAATGTCCCCCACTGCTCTCGGGACGTGGTCAAAGCTCTGCCGGAGGTGGGAGTTGAAGACCGTCTTGACAGGTTCTTCTGCCAGGCGTTCCCAGCAGACCCTCACTATGCGTTTGGGTCTGCCAGGTCTACGGGGCATGTTCCCTTGCCATCTGATCCAACTCACCACCAGGTGGTGATCAGTTGACAGCTCCGCCCCTCTCTTCACTCGGGTGTCCAAAACATACGGCCGCAGGTCAGATGATACGACTACAAAATCTATCATCGACCTGTGACCTAGGCTGCCCTGGTACCAAGTGTACCGGTGGGCATCCTTATGTTCGAACATGGTGTTCGTTATGGCCAAACTGCGGCTTGCACAGAAGTCCAATAACAAAACACCGCTCGAGTTCAGATTAGGTGGGCCGTTCCTCCCAATCACACCCCTCCAGGTCAAGCTGTCATTGCCCACGTGAGCATTGAAGTCCCCCAGCAGGACAATGGAGTCCCCTGATGGAGCACTATCTAGCACTCGTCCCAGGGACTCCAAAAAGGGTGGGTACTCTGAACTGATATTTGGCCCATAAGCACAAACAACAGTCAGGACCCGTTCCCCGACCCGAAGGTGCAAGGAAGCTACCCTCTTGTCCCCCGGGGTAAACCCCAACACACAGGCAGAGAGTCTCGGGGCTAACAAAAAGCCAACCCCAGCCCTCCGCCTCTCACCCGGAGCAACTCCAGCAAAGTAGAGTGTCCAACCCCTCTCCAGGTCTCGGGTTCCAGAGCCAATGCAATGTGTCGAGGTGAGTCCGACTATATCTAGCCGGTACCGCTCAACCTCTGCCACAAGCTCCGGCTCCTTCCCCGCCAGCGAGGTGACGTTCCATGTCCCAAAAACTAGTTTTCTTGTCCGGGGATTGGACCGCCAAGGCTCCCGCCTTGGTCTGCCACCCGATTCGCATTGCACCGGACCCTTCATGTTCCTCCTGCGGGTGGTGGGTCCACAGTTGGACGAGCCCATGTATCCGGTTCGGGCTGGGCCCGGCCGGGCCCCATGGGCGAAAGCCCGGCCACCAAGCGCTCGCTCACGGGCCCCAACCCCAGGCCTGGCTCCAGGGTGGGACCCCGGTAACCCTCCGGGCCGGGTACTCCGACTCTTCGTTTTAACCGCCATGAAAGATCCTTCGAACCGTTCTTTGTCTCACCCTTCACCTAAGACCAATTTGTCATGGGAGACCCTACCAGGGGCACTAAGTGCCCCAGACAACATAGCTCCTAGGATCATTAGAGTTTGTGTGTGTTGCATTATCTTTATAATGCTCGTCGTCTGTTTTGTTAGTTTTTAGAACCTTTTTATAACAATAAAACCCTTTTAATATCCACTGTCCAGTTTTTAGGTTATCCCCATCCTTCACATTTTACCATCTCATGTCGGGGACGTAACATAAATGGGGGCTCGTCCGGGATTTTTGTTCATTGAGCTCCACTGGCTACCGCTAGCAGCACGCATCAAATTCAAATTGCTAACACTAGCATACAAAGTCCGAGATGGTACGGCTCCCATCTGCCTGAATCCTCTTGCAAAGGCTTACGTCTTGGCCCGGCTGCTCCGGTCATCACAGGATTGTCGGCTAGCAGTGTCTACACCACGCTCAGGACAATCCAGACTCTTCTCATGCATCGTTCCACAAATGTGGAATGACCTACCAAGTACTACCACAACAGCGGCTTCCTTTTGCTTTGGACAAAAGCGTCTGCTAAATACATAAACATAAACATCTCACCGGTCTCAGTCTCCATGGGGGGGGGGGGGTCTCCGTGAATTAACTTAATACCAGAACATTTTTGATGAATAATAATTCAGGAAGACGGCGGGAATGAGGAGTAAAATAGTTTACAGGTTTTAAAACAGTTTCCTGCCCAAAATGGGAGACTTGACAGGTGTGACCCTGATCCTGTAGATGAAGGCCTTCACATCACAACTCCGACTCTCCTGATTCGAACTCCACTGACCTCCTCTGTGCATGCGGGCCGCTTTGGGGCCATGAAGCATTCACAATGGAGAGAGTTTGATGTCGCATTTCAGTCATAATGTGAACAGCCACACACACAAAAAAAATCTAATTTACTCAGAAAACCATAATTGAGGATCAAGGCCTGCAGTGTGAACGTAGCCAACGTTGCAGTGAGGGACCACCATGTATTAGATGGGTTTGTTCAGCACATCTTCATGCTTTATCGAATTAAATCATGAATCAAGGCTTTCTTCATTTGATTAGCAGAAATATTTAGGAAAGTGATAATGAAACATAAACCTCGTATTTAAGCGTACATTAATAGGTGGAATCGACCAAAACGTCCCACTGCTCCATCAGCCTGCCTTCATTCTTTGCTCTCAGTTTAAATAATAATTAAACGCAGCATCACACAAATAACTAATGATCTGTCTGGAGAATACCTGACATTCAACACAAAGGTGGGTTATGTAACGTGATCTATATCTGATTCTGCTCCACAGAGCTTAAAACCCGATGAGGTGAACAGAGATGATGGTTGTCTGCAAACACTCAGATCAGAGGAGATGAGGGAGTTTTGTAAAAGGTGAGCAGCAGAAATGACTCTCAGGGTAAATTCATATAAGCATGGTTAAAGGTTGATTACAATTTCATTAGATGGCTTTAAGCAGACTTTCATAAATGTTTAATGTATATCTGCAATGATCAAGGAAAAAAAGAATCACAAGTGGCAAACTTTAGCTCCTTTGAGTGAAGTGATGACAGTTTAGAGCGGTTTAGAACAACTTACCGTAATCATGATGTAGCATAAACAAATAGTTACAGACACTAACAAAACTAGAGGTTTGTATATAAAACAAATATGAAAAGTACAAGTTGGCTGAAGGGTGTGGTGAGTACCTCTGAGGGGCTCTGAGGGACAGTGGAGGCCTTGTATCCCAGCTGCAGCAGCATCGCCTCAGCAGCGTTACGCTTGGCCACCTTCTTGTTAGGTCCTGTTCCCGTGGCAACCTCGTTATTCACCTTCACCTGCATGAGCACCCAAGAAACACACAAACAAGCGTCTGTACATGAAATGGAGAATGGGTTTTTGTGGCTTTGCTGATGCATTCTGTGTGACTTTTCTCCCTCCAGCGTTTTGATGCCCGTTCCCTCTCAGCCGAGGGAGCTCGCTTTCTGAGCCAAGTCAGCCGCGCAACGTCAAGTGTTTGTTTTTCGGTAATCCCTGAGCATTAAATCTGTCCACGCGAATGTAAGCAGAAATCTCCAAGAGCATATCGGACGTTGTCATGTTATGCAAACAGACAATTACACTGTACAAATAACACTCTGGGAGCCGGAGCATGTGAACAGCCAGGCATCGGCGCACTTATTCAAAGTGACCCGACAGGCTTGAGTGCTGCTCTGAATACACGACACAGGCAACGACATACAGTGAGAGCAAACAGCTAAATAAATCACCGAACCACTGAACACTTCCACTTTTTTATTAGCTTTTAAAACAACGATCAGCTCCACTGAAGGTATCTGTTTTAAGGTGGAGTTTGATTCTCAAACTAGAGATGGATTTAAACAAAGGAGATGAAAACAGAGGCTCATTTGAGCCCTGCTGCCTAACAGGGGGAAACAATGTGGAAATTTTAGAAGAGTGAGTGGACTGCACAAAAGAACACACACACACACACACACACACACACACACACACACACACACACACACACACACACACACACACACACACACACACACACACACACACACACACACACACGCACACACACAGGGCCTAATGTGTGCATCAAAGAGGCATGGAGAATAGGTTTGAGGCTGAATTACTGCCTGATGCTGAGAGAAGCTCTGTTCCTCATGTGAAAGAAGGGGATTACGAAAGAAAAGACAAAGAGGGCGAGTTTGACTGAGGGATGGGAGAGAGAGGTGAATAAAAGCAGAGATGGACAAAAAAAATTGGAGAATCACAGTTGGGGTGACATGCATTAATAAAAATGGACAAGTCTAATTCAAGTGACGCGGCTAGCACACAAACAATTTAGAAGGAGTACCTTATGTGGAAACACACACGCGCGCGCACACACGCACACACACACACACACACACACACACACACACACACACACACACACGCCAACAGCAGGTACACTTAGAAGATCTGCTGCATATTTTTACCACCCATCAGACTTCATGCATTATTCCATCTTAACAAGGTTTTAGAAAAACACATCAACTTGACTTTTATGTACTTAGTAAACAAAAACATCAGATTTACTGATTTCACTTCTCTTCCAAATCCAAAACATGACCAAACTTAAGCCAATCAAGTTTAATTCAATCTAATTTAATTCAGTTTATTTACAAAGCACCAATTAAAGAGTCCTCTCAAGGCACTTCAGGAAGTAAACATTTCCAATTAAACCTACTTATTAGCGCACTGAGTTAAGTTTTTTAAGCCAGTTGGTTACACAACATTTGCACTAAGTAGTGCTTCTATGGCCGTATGCATTGCACTGCTTAAAGTTTATTGTGTAAAAATTGTGACGAGTCCAGTTAAGCCAGTATATCTCTGGAATTGTTGGTGATAAATTCTGAATGGTAATCATGAAGGAGCTCCCAAAATGTCCCCACGAGTTCTGCTCTCGTGTTGTTGGGAAATTTTGAACCAGCTCAAAAAAATTAAACTTATTCAAACGTTATTTTATTATTGTGTTTTAGCTCTGTTGACGGCTTTAACGAGTGAGAGGCATTACTTCCAGAAGTAATCACGGAAGGGATTAAAGTGCAATACATTATTTCCACCTGTAGATGGTGCTCTCTAAGACAAAACATTCCTGCTTTAAACCTTTCATTCTGTAGGAAAAGGCTAATATCTGAGAAAACAAGTCTGCTTAAAAAAGTATGAGAAACAAAAGTGAAACTCAAAAAATGAGAATGTGGAGCAAAAGTCCATTTATGCCAGTAATCCAACTTGGACTGAGAGACCATCTAAAGGCTCAGGAACCCTTTGTAGGTGTTTAGGATCCATTTGCTGATTAGTGTGTGACACTTTGAGTCTAGAATATTGAACCTACAATATTCTAATTGTCTGAGATTTTGAATTTGGGGTTTTCATAAGCTGTAAGTTGCAATCATCACAATTATAACAAACATCTGCCTTTGCATGTAATGAGTCTACCTTTCTTAGTTTAGTTTCTGTGTGTCATAAAAGTCTGAGAAATGCGAGACAACTGTGGGAGGAGTTGGCAACTACATAGCTAATAAAACAAGAGTAGAAAGCAAATAGAAATACGATTAAGACTTATTGACACAAAAGTGCAACAAGAACATTTGCAAAACAGTCAGAATATGTTTGCAATCACAACATGTCTCACGCTGCGACCAATACCTTTAAATAAAACTTGTCCAAAGTGCCAATTTTGTGTGATTCCCACAGACAATGTGCACACTGTCCTCACAATTGTGTGTCACCCCAGTGAGATTCTGGCTATGTCGTTTAAGTGAATGCTGCTGCAGCAGGAGCGTCTCCCTACAACAGCCATATTTCTCCTAGCGCTGCAGAAGCCAGACCATGTGCTGTCTTTACTAGCTCCAACAGACAAACTGAAATATAGTAGTATAAAACAGTTGCCTGCTCCACTGAGAGAAAACAGGGCTGTGAAGACGAATGTTCATCTGTTCAGGGGTTTAATGGCACCAATGAAAACACGTAATAAACAGAATATGTTGAGAAGAAAAAGGCAAAGAAGATGAGAGATGAGTGAAACAGAAGGAGGGGACAGCTGGAGAGAAAAGGTATCTCTGGACTTTTTGCCTTTAATTATTTTGGTGACGCTAGCATGACCCAACTGCTGCTGGTGACAGAATTTAGTATTTGTAGCATGTCTCCTACAGTCGCTGTTCAAGTGTCTGATAATGGTTAAATATCAGAATGAAGTCCATTACCTGGGGGATCACACTCCTGAGCCTCCTTGGTAAAGTCTATTCAGGAGTTCTGGAAAGGACGGTCCGACGGATTGTTGATCCTCGGATTCAGGAGGAGCAATGTGGTTTTCGTCCTGGCCGTGGAACACTGGACCAGCTCTATACCCTTAGGGGGTTGCATGGGAGTTCGCTCAACCAATCTATATGTGTTTTGTGGATTTGGAGAAGCCGTTCGACCGTTTCCCTCGGGAAGCCCTTTGGGGGGTACTTTGGTAGTATGGGGTACCAGGCCCATTGATACGGGCTGTTAGGTCCCTGTATACCAGCGGTACTCGATAGGGTCCGGCCATCGCATTTGCTCTGCAGGAGTAGGAACGGCGCTGGTGTGATTTGTGGTTGGTTATATTGCATTTGTGTGTGGGGAGCATGATCTGCCAGCACACTCCATAGACTATAATGGATTCTATTTGAACCAGTGCCGTTTCGCTGCTGATGCATCCAGTGTACAGCAGGGGTCAGGCAAACGCGACCAGACCCCAGAGAAGTGTTCGAAAATGAATGGATGGATAACAGGAAGTGCATATATTTTTAGCCCAACAATAAGCTGTTTTTGTTCCAAATTCTGAAATTTGAGCAATAATAATACATCCAGAGAAAGATTTGGACTTAATGATATATGGTGTAGTTAAGGTAAGCAAAAGCAAACATCATCCTGATTCTGATTTCGCAGGAGCTAAAATACTCTCAGCATGGAGGATATCGTTCAATATGAGGTGCAGATCTTAGATATACAATATTCCAATGTATTTTTATGGGCCTAAAGTTAGAAAACAGATTTCTGGATCGAATGAGGAAAACAATGTTTATTCCCAGCAGTTGATCATAACAAAGCTTAATTCTGTTTATCTTCATATAAAGACTGCTGATCAAACTCAAATATCAGGAGTTTCAAGAATAAATGGGTAAAGGTTCATGGTCTCTGAAGTCAAGCTGCCTTAAGCTATCAGTACTGGAGCAGGACAGAAAGAGCCCGCTGGATAAGATGTACCAATGAGGAATGGAAACGCTGAAGGGTGCCTAGACACAGAGTCTCAGATTCATAAACTGTGCTTTTTTAATGCAACTGATTTTTACTGAACTGTGCTTTTATCAATAAATCCTTTGAAACTTTAATAAAACACATTGGACCATGTGAGTCTTGAGTTTTGTTTGACCCAACAAACTGTATCCATCCTGCAGGCAAAGGTCACCATCAGGGTCATTGGCAAGCTCCTAGAGAATGAATAAAAAGATGAAACCGTTACCTGCATGACAAACTCTCGACGTCTAGGCATCCCTCTTTCAGAAAGCAGCTGGTACTCTGGTTCCTTCTCTTTCTTGGCCTGTTGGATCTGGGCTAGACGGCTGATGGGGTTCATGCCCTGACCGTAGTCCGGAGCCGTCTGGAAGGGGGGACAAGTAGAATCCATCATCTTCTTGTTTGATTTAAAACCCTTCTCTTATATTTATATAATATTACTGTTTATCACTTGAAGAGACTCAATCTAATAATAAATTACCAATTTATTATACCAGTTCGTCCAACCATTCTACATGCGTTTTATGGATTTATAGAAGGCGTTTGACCAGGTCCCTTGGGAGGCCGTGTGGGGGTTACTTCAGGAGTATGGGGTACCGGGCCTGTTAGGTCCCTGTATGACCGGTGCCAGAGCTCGGTCAATATTGCCGGCAGTAAGTCGGGCTGGTTTCCGGTGAGAGTTGGACTCCGCCAAGGCTGCCCTTCATCACCGATTCTGTTCATAACTTTCATGAGACATTTTCCCTGCCACTACAAGGAACCCTCTGATAAAAAAACTCCAGATTTTGGCTACATTTGTCAGTTAGATGGAAATGATGCTATCCAAGTGTAATGAGTTCATTTTCATGACATGCAATAAAAATGTCTTTCTAAGAACGCCGTCTCTCAGCATTTAAAAGCACATTATTGTTATAAAGGACTCCATTTTCCCCTAAGATACCACCCCACCCAACCCGTTTGCCTGGCTGCAGCACCTTGAGGATAGTCTTGGTGCGTTTCTTGTAGTGCGTCTTGGGTTTCTCCACGGTGGGTATGAAGGGCAGCTTCTTCAGGTCCTGCAGGATGGTCAGAGCAGCACGCTTCTTCGACAGCTTCTTACTGTTTCCTTCACCCTCAGCAGCAAACTCTCCAACAGTGACTCGGGTCAGGAAGCTTTTCATGTGTGGGGGACCGCTCTCCTTCAACACCTGGGAAAAAATATTGGAACATTCAACAAAATAACAATAAAAAAAGAAGCAAATAACACAGAAAAGAACATGATTACAAATGAATGTGTGTCTGTGTTTGGTCATTATGTGCAAGCAGCTACACCAGGTGGTCCTAAACATCTGCTCTCTGTGGTCATACAAAAATCTATCCACCCATGTGTGCACACTGGAACACACACACAGACACACAAACGAAAAGTAACATGTTCCTAAATGACACTCTCTGGTGATGAAGGCTCAGTTTCCTTCCTGCAGTCTTTGGTCACCTGGGAGACCTAAAACAAACACCGGCTGGCGTTAGGTCATGCTTCTGCAATCACATCTACTTCCTATGAAGAACAATGTGTGTGTAGCAGGTGGGGTTCTCTCTAACCTTACATAGGAAAGCATACTGAGGAAAGAATTAGGTTTCACACACTTATTAGGCTCCAGAGTTACATGTTCACTTTTCTGACATGGCTTTTTTCCCCTCAATGTGTGATTAAAAGGAGCCTGAGGCCATACTGATCAATTACGATGGTGTTTCCTTCCCGCTCCATCTAAATCTACTAGCTGTGTGTATTTTGTTGGAATCTCAAGCCCCCTCCCCCCACACTTTCCAGATTTTCTCTACTGCGGTGCAGACAGCACAAATTATAGCAATCAGCCGCAATCTAGTAACAGTTCATTTAAACCCAACGGCCGATAAAACCGATTTAACTGATAAGCGGAAGCGTGAGCATTCCTGAGATACTTCGTACGTCAGCACAAACAACTCCCAGACCTGAAGGAAAGAGCAGGACACTGTGGACACGTCTTTTCTTTTGCTCACAACTACACCCACACTTATTAAACTAGTGGACTGAAATGACTCAATAAGTCCGATTCAGTGATTAAAGAATAAATGGATGTTCAGAAAATGACAAAGTTTGGACCAAAACTGCACATTTGACCAAATAAAGTTGCTAAATTGATCAGTTACTTAAAGAAAATATTATTAGACCAATCTACACTCATCTAGAGGATTATTAGGAACACCACACTAATACAGTGTTTGACCCCCTTTTGCCTTCAGAACTGCCTTAATCCTACATGGCATTGATTCAACAAGGTGCTGAAAGCATTCTGTAGAAATGTTGGCCCATACTGATAGGATAGCATCTTGCAGTTGATGGAGATCTGTGGGATGCACATCCAGGTCACGAAGCTCCCGTTCCACCACATCCCAAAGGTGCTCTATCGGGTTGAGAGCTGGTGACTGCGGGGGCCGTTGTAGTACAGTGAACGCATTGTCATGTTTAAGAAACCAATTTGAAATGATAGGAGCTTCATGACATGGTACACTATCCTGCTGGAAGTAGCCATCAGAGGATGGGTACATGGTGGTCATGAAGGGATGGACATGGTCAGTAACAATGCTCAGGCAGCCCGTGGCATTTAAACAAAGCCCAATTGGCACTAGGGGGCTTAAAGTGTGCCAAAAAAACATCCCCCACACCACCACCACCACAAGCCTGCACAGGGGTAACAAGGCATGATGGGTCCATGTTCTCATTCTGCTTACGCCAAATTCTGACTCTACTATTTGAATGTCTCAACAGAAATCGAGACTCATCAGATCAGACATTTTTCCAGTCTTCAACTGTCCAATTTTGGTAAGCTGGTGCAAAATGTAGCCTCTTTCACCTATTTGTAGTGGAGATGAGTGGTACCCTGTGGGGTCTTCTGCTGTTGTAGCCCATCCGCCTCAAGGTTATGTGTGTTGTGGCTTCACAAATGCCTTGCTGCATTCCTCAGTTGTAACGAGTGGTTATTTCAGTCAAAGTTGCTCTTCTATCAGCCTGAATTAGTCGGCCCATTTTTCTCTGACCTCTAGCATCAACAAGGCATTTTCGCCCACAGGACTGCCGCATACTAGATGTTTTTCCCTTTTCACACTATTCTTTGTAAACCCTAGAAATGGTTGTGGGTGAAAATCCCAGCAACTGAGCAGACTGTGAAATATTCAGACTGGCCCGTCTGGCACCAACAACCATGCCACGCTCAAAATTGCTTAAATCACCTTTCTTTCCCATTCTGACATTCAGTTTGGAGTTTAGGAGATTGTCTTGACCAGGACCACACCCCTAAATGCATTGAAGCGACTGCCATGAGATTGGTTGATTAGATAATTGCATTAAGAAGTTCAACAGGTGTTCCTAATAATCCTTTAGGTGAGTGTAAATTACAATTATGTTTTTTATTTGGCAGCTGCTTTTATCCAAAGTACCTTACAACTGTGGATGTAACAATGCAGTCAATTGAAACCGCACTAATTACAGGAGATTGCAATAATCATTCATTCACTGAGACATCAGCGTTTCTGCTCTGAGTTCAACTACATGGAATGAAAAGGATGTATGAGGCAGGAAAGCCTAGGAGCTTCTAGCCAAACTCCTGGGACCTACTCTGGTCTTGCTCATCACCACAGAAAGGAAATGAAACATGTCAGCTTCTCGTAGAAAGTAACAACTAGTGGGAGTGGACACATGCAATCTCTAAACTGATGGCAACGCTCATCACTGACAGAATTATGTCACTTGGAAGACACAGATACATGCTTGGCTTGTGCGTCACAAAGAACATGTGTTAGTGCTCAGCTCGAAGTGAGCGAGGCAGAAACTGTCATAAACGAGGCTTCATCCACAGTTGGATTCAAACAAAAACTCATTTTCTTCAAGGTAAACACTTTCTTGGTTCAGTTTTGCTAAATTAAAGCATCCTCGTAGGCGACTGGCTGAGATATTTGTCACGTGACTGAGCTTCTCATAGTTTGATTTTGATACAGGTCATTGTTTAGTTGTTTGGCAACAAGAAGAGACTCCAAGAAGTTCCTAATCCTGGCCAAGAAATAGTTTGACGCACAAAAACTCCTTTAAACAGCTAATTATTGAGGGTAAACTTTAGTATTTGTCTGGTTTAAACATGAAGTATGTTGTTAATTATTAATGTAGTTAATAGATGATATTATTGGGATCTCATCACAGTAACAATTTAACCTTGAGCACAATGAAAAAAAGAGTTTCATTTCACCTACTCAATCACATGATAACTTGACACATATGTTCCCTTGTTAGCACACCAGCGCTGCTTGTAGTCAATGGAAAAACTGTGATTGAACACCAAGGTGTACAGAGATGGATCAAAATGCCATTTCAATAATATTATTTTCCTAATTCTATAATCTTTTTACATTTTAACCTGTTGTGTCTTTAGTCAAAAGTGTAACTGCTGCATGCCTACAGGGGACCTCTTCTCCTCAGCTCACCATACCAATCTCCCTACAGCTCTGAACACAGAGGCTACTGTGGCCACTGTTTAGCCCATTTTACAAAACACAACAAGCTGGCAAATCAGTGTAATACTGCTGCCACGGTGAGTCTTATGAAAGTGCCGTGGCGGCATGGCAATACGGGAATTTTGGTAGTAATATTGCCGTATTGTCGGTCTTGTGAATGCATATTAAGCCTTGGTGCAACAGATGGTGGTGTCATGATTACGTGGGGAGTTACTACTGAGCTATGGTCGGCAACTATATTGAAAATTGACAGTAAGCACGGGCAGTAACTAGCTTTTTTAACAGATTCACTTGAGATGATAAACTGGAGTGATGTAAACAGGGTCCGAAATTCAATTTTTTACTCACCGGCCAAGTTGGCTGGTAGATGATGAAAATCTACCGGCCAAGCATATCTTTTACCGGCCAAAATTCTAAATGATTTAGATCCACCTAAAGCATGTTATTCTATATTATGCTGATTCCAAACAGAGTGACAAAATAATTAAAACATCAATTAATAAGAAAAACAACTCTTTTGTCATTTTTACTATTTATTTATTTATTTTTAGAGATGTTTTTATGAACTCTTTCATTGAAATCTAGTCAGACTCCTTGTTTTCTCTGTCCATGATGTCTGGCCTCCTGCTTCTGACGCCGTCTTTGTGCCAAAGCATTACAGCCTCATTTGGGTCATAGTCCTTGATCTCTGGAGAACACAGCTGCACCATGAGAATATCTGAAAGTGTGTCAGGGCTAGGGTTGTCACGGTAACCAGTGTAGCGGTAAACCCCGGTAAAAAAGTTGACAATAATAACCGTCTTGTTTTTAAAAAAAATTATCTCGGTGGATTACCGTGGCTGCGGTGTAGGCGCGGTGACCCTTACCAGCCACCGTATCATCTGCAGAAGTTGCCGGCGGCACATGCGCACTTTGTTGTTTACGACCAAAACTTTCTTTAAGCTAAAGCTGAAATAATGGCAGGAGGAGACGGCAGCGCTCGGGACATTTATTATCCCTCAAAGAAGACAAAGTCGGAAGTATGGACATTTTTTGGATATTTGAAGAATGCCGAGGGACAGTTGTCTGTGAAAGGCAGCAACGCTATGTGGCCATCATAATATAGCCATTGTCTCACGACTCCGCCGTCTCCGGTTCGCCACTTTTCACAAAATCTTCTGGTTGCCACTGGTCCTGGTGGTTTTTCTTCCAGTTCGACGAGTTTTCTTTTGGAAGGCTAGCTGACTCCAGTTAAAAACCGCCACATTTCACCGCTAATTTTAACACGAAGCTAACTGCTAACTTGATAAACTGATTGAATGGGATAGGTGGAAATGACGTTGGATGCGGCATTCACGTTTCGCGTATGTTTGCGTACGTTGCATGCAGGCGGGAGGAGTATCAGAAATCCATGGAAGATGACTGATAAACATAACTAATTTGGTGCAAACATTTACTCGCCAGGTGGCAGGTAGAGCTCAAAAATTTACTCGCCAATTGGAGCAATTTGCTCGCATTTGGCGAGTGGCGAGTGTTAATTTCGGACCCTGGATATAGAGCTTGAGGAGCTTCAATCTGGTAGAGCTGGAGCTCAGATCACCAGAAACTGCACAGGGACTGTGAGTGACAGCCATCTTTTGGAGCGGGTTGTCCAAAAAACCTAATGAGCGCAGCTTCAATCACA